CTTACAAATCTGCATGTGATCACTGATTGGCTAATCAGTGATCACATGATCGGGACCTCACAGAGAGGTCCTGTCCAACGATCGGTGTTCCACTGTGTCTGGAGGACACAGAGGGCACCGGATTGCAGTGCTGTGCACTCCCAGGGAGCTTGCACAAGCAGGGTGTGGGGAGGCCGTTTATAAACGACCACCTAACCCTGCACTGCCACCGTCTGGCCGTTTATATACAGCTGGACGGGAAGTGGTTAAATTAAAATCATAGTCACACCCTTTACTGCCCCCTACATAAACAGACTGAACTTAATTTTTTTCTATTAATATACAAGGGGCCTTGAAAAAGTTATGTGAATATACAGTCATGGCCGAAATTGTTGGCACCCTTGATATTTTTCCTGAAAATCAAGTATTTCACACAAAAAAGGTATTGCATTAACACATGTTTTGCTATACACATGTTTATTCCCTTTGTATGTATTGGAACAAATATAAAACAGAGGCAGAAAAGCAAATATGACATAATGTCACACAAAACCCCAAAATGGGCTGGACAAAAGTATTGGCACCCTTAACTTAATATTTGGTTGCACACCCTTTGGAAAACATAACTGAAATCAGTCGCTTCCTATAACCATCAATAAGCTTCTGACACCTCTCACCCGGAATTTTGGACCACTCTTCCTTTGCAAACAGCTCCAGGTCTCTCTTATTGGAAGGACACCTTTTCCCAACAGCAATTTTAAGATCTCTCCACAGGTGTTCAATGGGATTTAGATCTGGGCTCATTGCTGGCCACTTCAGAACTCTCCAGCGCTTCTTTGCCATCCATTTCTGAGTGCTTTTTGACGTATGTTTGGGGTCATTGTCCTGCTGGAAGACCCAGGATCTTGGACGCAAACCCAGCTTTCTGACACTGGGCCCTACAGTGCGACCCAAAATCCTTTGGTAATCCTCAGATTTTCATGATGCCTTGCACACAGTCAAGGCACCCAGTGCCAGAGGCAGCAAAACAACCCCAAAACATCATTGAACCTCCACCATATTTTACCGTAGGTACTGTGTTTTGTTCTTTGTAGGCCTCATTCCGTTTTCGGTAAACAGTAGAATGATGTGCTTTACCGAAAAGCTCTATCTTGGTCTCATCTGTCCACAAGACGTTTTCCCAGAAGGCTTTTGGCTTACTCAAGTACATTTTGGCAAACTGTAGTCTTGCTTTTTTATGTCTCTGTGTCAGCAGTGGGGTCCTCCTGGGTCTCCTGCCATAGCGTTTCATTTCATTTAAATGTCGACGGATAGTTCGCGCTGACACTGATGCTCCCTGAGCCTGCAGGACAGCTTGAATGTCTTTGGAACATGTTTGGGGCTGCTTATCCACCAACCGGACTATTCTGCGTTGCAATGTTTCATCAATTTTCCTCATCCGTCCACGACCAGGGAGATTAGCTACAGTGCCATGGGTTGCAAACTTCTTGATAATGTTGCGCACTGTGGACAAAGGCAAATCTAGTTCTCTGGAGATGGACTTGTAACCTTGAGATTGTTGATATTTTGCCACAATTTTGGTTCTCAGGTCCTCAGACAGTTCTCGTCTCCTCTTTCTGTTGTCCATGCTTAGTGTGGCACAGACAGACACACAATGCAAAGGTTAAAGTGAACGTCTCTCCTTTTTATCTGCTTTCAGGTGTGATTTCTATATTGCCCACACCTGTTACTTGCCCCAGGTGAGTTTACAGGAGCATCACATGCTTGTAACATTCTTATTTATCCGCAGTTGTGAAAGGGTGCAATACTTTTGTCCAGCCCATTTTTGGAGGTTTGTGTGACATTATGTCGAATTTGCTTTCTTTCCTCCCTTTTTTTGTTTTGTCCCCAATACACACAAAGGGAATAAACATGTGTATAGCAAAACATGTGTTAATGCAATACGTTTCGTGAGAAATACATGATTTCCTGGAGAAATATCAAGGGTGCCAACAATTTCGGCCATGACTGTATACACACGAGGGGCGGTAAAATCAAACCGGGACATTTAATTTAACAGGTATAAAAAGGGATGCTAGCGCTGCGGTACTAGTCGTAATAGTAAGTGCCAAGTGTGTCCTATTCCTGGTAGGTGGTACACATGTCGCAGGCCAATCCAGAGACTGTTAATCAAGATGGCAGACAACAGTGTTAGCCCGTGCATGGAACAGTGCGTGGTGATGAAGTTTCTTGTGAATAAAGGCATAAAACCCACAGATATCTACAGAAGACTTCAAGCACAATATGGTGATGAGACGCTCAGGCGCAGCAAGACATTTGAATGATGTAAACGTTTCAAAGACGGCAGTACATTCATCAGTGACTATCCTGGCCGTGCTGGTTAGCAGACCACAGAAGTAATTCCTGTGAGCATTCAGCGCATGGAATGCCTGATCCTAGATGATCGACACATGATCTGTCATGAAATTGCACAAGAGATGAATCTTTCTGTGGGAACGGTGAACACAATGATGACGAAGTGAAGCAGGCTGTCCTAGGATGGTTCAGGTGTACTTACAAATCTTTCTATGCTGAAGCTTTCCAGGCATTAATTAAATGTTGAGATACAGTGTATAAATGTAGCAGGGGAGTATGTTGAAAAATAAATGCAGTTTCCACTCCTTGAAATGTTTCTTTTTTTTTTATATAAACTCAAAAGTCCCGGTTTGACTTGAACGCCTCTCGTATGTTAAATAAAGTGCGAAAACTTTTTGAAGAACCCTTGTACATCACTACAGGGGTCCAGGGACTGCTTAGTGATGTACAATGTCACTATGGGGACTGATGTAGTCAGAGAGAGGGACCGGATATTTGGGGGCTCCCTTATTATAAAGGTCTTGCAAAATACCCCTTCCAATGTTGGCTCAGGAAGGGGGGGGGGGGTGCACGCTTAGCCTTGGTTCACACTGGATCAGACTTTGAAATCATGCTACTTCACTTGAGTTCACACAATTTCAAAGCTGCATGTCAATGTAACTTTAGGTGTGACTTGGCAGACATCTGTGTGACTTCATGCACAGATGTCTATGCAAGTCCCACCTGAAATCACACAAAATAGTGCAAGAACCTTTTTTTCAAATCAATGCGGCACCGCAAAGTCAGAGTCGCACCAATTTGAACAGTTCCATTGCCGACAATAGGGTGCTACTTGTCATGTGATTTGAAACTGTCTAATCACATGACAAGTCACATTGGTGTGAATCAGGGCTTCCTGCCCTCACTTTCCTGGCCATCCAGACTGCATGCCTGGATTAGGATCTGGTATGAATCTTAAGGGGAATCCCAGGCATTTTTCTTATTTCTTTATTGGCACTTTTAAAGGGTTAACTCATACTGTTCTGTAACTTCACATGCAGGCTCAAGGCACCGCTATGAGTGTTACTTAAAGGGTTAGTGTATTTCCAGTGTTGCCCTTTAGGCCATTGTAAAGCACCCTGTCCCTGCTGACCTGTATTTAAAAAAAAAAAAAAATTTCATGGGTACATGTCCTTCATGGAGGTGCCCAGCTACCCAAGCACTTTTTAACAAATGATTGAAAATTATCTTTGAAAAAGGCCAGAAAAAGATTGCAAGTTTTGGCACCCATGGACACCAATAGGGATTAGTGCTAAGTTTGGGGTTCATGGACTTCCCGATGCAGGGGCAGACTGACAACTCATGGGGCCCCGGGCAATAGGGGATCATGGGGTTCTGTATACGAGGCATTTCATGGGGCCCCCTACTGACCCCGGGTCCTCGGGCAGCGCCCAAGTTCCCAAATGGTCAGTCTGCCCCTGTCCCGATGGGTTACCTAACCTCCTGCATGAGAAAAAAGGAGTTCTTGCTTCACTCTAAATTTTAGGCTACTGACCCTGTACAAGTCTTCATACCCAAAGTATTGCAGTCAGAAACAAGCAGGCGACTTCGATTTTCATCAGAAGTCAACAATGGCAGCCTACATATTACTGCTAGTGCAATTTTAATTATTTTGAGTAAAACGGTATCAATGATAACAACTGGTCTGAGCTAGCAAACCAGCAATCCTGGTAGATGTCAAAAGGGTCGTTGTGCCTAAAACCCTCTTTGAGCTGGTAAGAGGATCTGCAAACTGATCAGCAACAAATTTAGAAATATGCATGATGGAAAATTTGTTTCATTTTGTTTCGGAAGTTATTCATTTTTCTTCATATTTGTTGTGTTGGAATGATTCATTTTTGGAATTCCTTTTGTACATTTGAACACATTTCATATATTCGTTTTTTTCAAATCAATCTGAAATTTGAATTCGAAATATGAATTTTGAAATTTGAATTTTAGAAGAAGCATATATTTGTTTTATTTATTTCTATTCTAATCTATTATAATTTTTATTTTCTGTTCTACTGTTTTATGTTCTATTCTTTTTCTTTCCATTCTATTCTCTTTTATTCTATTCTTTTCTATTCAATTTTATTTTATTCTATTTTTTCTATTCTTTTCTATTATATTCTATAAAGCAGCTGAAGTAGGAATCTTATTTCACTTTTATACCTTACTGTATTTATTGCAATATGTTTCAATTTCAAATTCAAATTAATTTTCAAATTCGAATTTAGATAATTAATTTCATTATCTTTTATTTTTTGATTTGTTAAAATTCATTACTATCGTGATTTAAACATTTGGATACATCCGAATCTCTAAGTAACAAACATTTTCAATTTCAATAACAAAATGGATCGCACATGTCTAAACAAATTATCCCATTGTTATACAACATGAAAATTGACTACAACTTATACTTGTTTATTTGGACCCAAATACTCCAATGCAAATTATTCCTTTTTGCAATGGACCAACTGTTCATCCAGAACTGATGATTTAAAACAAATCTACAAACCAGCCTTTCAATTTAAACTGCATTCAACTTTTTTAGGGCTTGTTGGCCCTCATCAGTGCCGTGTATTGAAACCTTGGATTCTATAGAGTGGGACCAAGAGAGTTGGGGAACAACAAGACAGTGTAACCAGACAGTTTATGGCAGGCTTTGAAATTTCCACTTGTCTGCTTGCCAATGGCGAGTGGAAATTATGGTGGGGGTGAGTGTATCCCCCAGGGCCGTCTTGCTGAGCAGGCTCAGAGCTCAGGCCGGATCTGTCATTGTCACTGGGAGACTTCAGACTCCTCGATAGCTGAGCGCAGTGAAAGCAAAGGAAGGACTGTGTGCTGTGCTCTCTGCCTCCCCCTAGAGTGCAGTACCTGGCTCTGTGAGTGAACAAAGAAGTACTGCAACTTTTATAGGGGGGGGGGGTTGTGTGTGTGTGTGTGTATGTACATGTGTGTGTTTGTGTGTCTGTGTATGCATATACCTGTGTGTATATACATGTGTGTATCTGTACATGTGTCTGTGTGTATGTACATGTATGTGTGTGTGTACATTTGTCTGTGTATGTACATGTATATGCATGTCTGTACGTGCCTGTGTGTGTATACATGTGTCTGTATGTGTGTGTGTGTACATGTGTCTCTGTGCGTGTGTGTACATGTTTCTGTGTGTGTGTACAGGTGTCTCTGTTTGTGTGTGTTTGTTGGCAGCAAGTAACTCTTAAGGCCTGGCTAGTAGCTCAGGACTTGAAATTTTAAGCACTGGTTTATGGTAAGGTGGTCTAGGAAAGAACCAAGAAGCTCAACATTTATCCAGCATGGTACAGCCTTTTTAAACAGAAGGAATTTATTTTAACCCACCTCACCAAAACCCATGTAGGTACACTGTATATTAAAATAAATACAATTAAAGTGGCACCAAACTAAATCCTCTAACAGGAAGTCTGATCAAAGCAACAAAAACTAAGTCAGAATTTGGAGATTTGCAGGAGGCAGAGTGCAAAAGATTTTTGTAACTAGAGTTTGGTGTCATTATAAAATACCCAGAGGACAGCCACACATTCAGTTTTTTTTTTTTCATTTTGGATAGAGTAAACAAAAATTATAACCCCTGTTAGGTTTTTTTAGCCATCATTTTTGACCCTTGGGGAGATTTTGCTTTTAACTCCTGTCCCATAGCCAAAACAGAAAGTACGAGGAAATCCCTCCAAAGTGTTGGAGTCCCAAGGTTGTCACCAAAGTTACCAGAACTAGTGTCACCAAACTCTATCCAGAACTAGTATCACCATTGGAAAAGTTCCCCTGTATCACAGTTCTGTTGACAACCCAAAATTTGGGATTTCCTTTCACTTTCACTCTAGGTTATAATGGCAACAAGGACAAATAGAGAAGGCGGATCTCTCTAACATGGGTACAGCCAGCAAATAAGACAGGTGTTCAATTCCTCTCCACTCTATCCGAACTAGAAAAGTTTTAAAGTTTTATATTTGTTCCCCAAATCTTTTGTTACATTCAAGTCAAAAATCACATTATATTGTACTGCTCTGACTTTGAAATGCATTTTTGCACGTTCTACAGTACAGCATCCCAGGAGGTGGGCACATAACGTATGTTACTAGTACAATTGTTCAGGCTGCATACATTTAAATAATCAAAGCAGGTTTTGCAGTAGTGGGCAGAGGAGCAGATTAATAACGCAGGAGGCAGAAGACAGAGAGCTATTGTCTGCTCACATTGGAAAAAAGACATTTGAATGCCAGAAGAAAAGAGTGGGAGGCCATTTACAGCACATCATTATTGACCACTTGCCAGTTTATATCCTTAGATATGTTATATGACACTGGTATCTAGAATAAATAAAACATGGGTAAATACTAGCCAATACGTGTGTGGATATTGTTCAAGAACAATGGGAATTGTGGGCCAAAAGAGACACTAAGCATTATTTATTGGACGCTACTGCATAACTTATTGGAAAATCTTGCACAACACAGCTACTGTGCCAGGAACATGTACTACAATCCGGTCAGGTGTTATTGTCTAAGGACAGAATGCGAGGGTGAAAATTGTGGAATCACCCTGTTCTAGTTACATAAGCCCACCCCCTTGGTGTTAGGAAGGCTTCATAAATGTTAATAATTTAATTTACATGTTTGAAGGTACAAATTGTTGTCAAAACGCCATTATATGTAGAAAACAGATGTCCCCATTCCTGTTCAATGATTGTTGTTCCAGTTTTAGATACCTCTTGGAAAAGAATTGTCTTCTTTGTCAAAAATGTGCACCTCAATGTCCTCAAAATATGCCGTCTTATGCTGGGCCATTTGTTTGTTGAGAGGATGATTTGCACAAAAAGGTGCTCCTGTAAGATTTGTTGTCAACAGCATCAAATCAGTCACATATAATATTGGTCAGTATCTGGTTACTATCCTATGATCCGTAGTAGGCAATAGTGATGGGCCTAACACCCCCGTTTGGTTTGTTGTCAAACATTGGAACCTAATGAATGTTCGACCGCGAACTTCAAACTTAATGCAAGTCTATGGGACTCGATCTTTTTGAAGGCCTATAAGTTTTTGACCTTAAAAGGGGTATGGGGACTTGGGTACTGTCCCGAGGGACATGAAACAGTGAAAAAATGTTTTCAAAAAGTACAGTTTTTAACCGCCTCCTGCTCGCCATATAAGGAAATGATGGATGGGCGGCGGTTCTCTCATTCTGGGAGGACGTCATATAATGTCCTCCCACTCTAACTGCGCATGTACGCCCCCAGTGGTGATCGGTGGTGCGCTCTGTCCCTGGGACAAAGAGGAGTACAGAGCCGATGATATCGGCTCTGTCATGTAATCAGCTGTGGCCAATTATTATTATTATTACATCGAGTTTATATAGTGCCAAAGGGTTTGCTCAGTGCTGTACAATAGAGGGGGGGACAATACATGAAACAGTACAGCAACTACAAACAGCACACACAAGGGGTTAGAGGGCCCTACTCTTTCGAGCTTACAATCTAGAAGGGAGGGGGTAGTGGTACAGGAGGAAGTGGCTGTGGGGGATGGAGTGGTAGGAGGAATGAAGGAGAACGGCTGTTAGGTGAGGGTGGGGTAGGCTTCCCTGAAGAGGTGGGTGTTTCAGGGAGCGCCTGAAGGTGAGAAGGGAAGGTGACAGTCTGATGGATTGGGGTAGTGAGTTCCAGAGGATGGGGGAGGACCTGGAGAAGTCTATCAAAGCTGATTGCATGTAAACAAGGAAATGTCAGTTATCGGCAGTCCTCTCCTCACACTGACAGCACATGAGGAGAGGAGAGGCGGTAAACGGCATTCCTCAGAGGGGACATCTACACTGATCATCACAGCATTGATGATCAGTGCCCTGATGATCAGCGTAGCCCCATCAGTGCCACCTGTCAGTGCCCATCAATGCCACCTATAAGTGCCCATCAATGCCACATACCAGTGCCTACCAGTGCACATCAATGCCTCATATCAGCACCCATCAGAGCTGCCTTTCAGTGCCAACTATCAGTGCCAGTCAGCACCACCTATCAGTGCCAGTCAGTGTTGCCTATCAGTGCCACCAATCAGTGCCCGTCAGTGCTGCCTAACAGTTCCAATCAGTGCAGCCTAACAGTGCCAGTCAGTTCCGCCTATCAGTGCCATATATGAGTGTTGCCTTTCAGTGCCCATCAGTGATGCCTGCCTGCCTGCCTGCCCACAAGTGATGCCTATCAATGCCCATCAGGGCCACCTACCAGTTCCTCCTCATCAGTGCCGCCTATCAGTGCCCATCAGTGCAGCCTATCAGTGCCCATCACTGCAGCCTCATTAGTGCACATCAGTGAAGGAGAAAAATTACTTATTTACAAAATTTTATAACAGAAACTAAGAAAAAAACTTTTTTTCAAAATTTTCAGTCTTTTTTAGTTTGGTTAGCAAAAAAAAAAAAACCCGGAGGTGATTAAATACCACCAAAAGAAAGCTCTATCTGTCTGAAAAAAAAAAAAAAATCATAAGGTATAGTGTTGCATGACCGCGCAATTGTCATTCAAAGTGCGACAGCACTGAAAGCTGACCTGGGCAGGAAGGGGATACAAGTGCCCAGTAGGTAAGTGGTTAACGGGGCAGTCATTTTTCATTGCTTAAAGTAAAAAAAAAAAAAAATTCCTCATGCCTGGGGGGGTCCCTTTAACCGCTTGCCTACCAGGCACTTATACCCCCTTATTTACCAGGCCAATTTTCAGCTTTCAGCGCTGCCGCACTTTGATTGACAATTGCGCGGTCATGCAACATTGTACCCATATGAAATTTTGATCATTTTTTTCTCACAAATAGAGCTTTCTTTTGGTGGTATTTAATCACCACTGGGCGCTTTACTTTTTGCGCTATAAATAAAAAATTGCCAAAAATTTGAAAAAAAAAAAAAGTTTCTTTGTTTCTATTATAAAATTTTTCAAACAGGTAATTTTTCTCCTTCACTGATATGCGTTGATGAGGCAGCACTGATGGACACTGATAGGCGGCACTGATGGGCACTGATAGGCAGCACTAAAGGGCACTGATAGGCAGTACTAATGAGGTGGCACGGATAGGCGGCACTGATAGACAGCACTAATGAGGTGTCACGGATAGGCGGCACTAATATGCAGCACTGATAGGCGGCACTGAAGGGCCACTGATGATGGGTACTGATAGACGGCACTGACTGGCATCACTGCTGGGCACTGACTGGCGGCACTGACTGGCACAACCGCTGGGCACTGACTGGTGGCACTGACTGGCAGCACTGCTGGTCTGCACTGGTGGGTGGCACTGGTGGGCAGCACTGGTGGGTGGGCACAGGTGGGTGGCACTGGTGGGCACAGGTGGGTGGCACTGGTGGGCACAGGTGGGTGGGCACAGGTGGGTGGCACTGCTGGGCACAGGTAGGTGGCACTTCTGGGCACAGGTGTGTGACATTGCAGAGTGGCACAGGTGGGTGCACTGCTGGGCACAGGTGGGTGCACTGCTGGGCACCGGTGGGCGGAGCTAGTGGGCGCACTGCTGGGCACAGGTGGGCGGAGCTAGTGGGCGCACTGCTGGGCACAGGTGGGCGGAACTTGCGGGTGGCACTGCTGGGCACCGATCATCAGGGCACTGATCATCAGTGCCCTGATGATCGCTGCCGATCCCCGCTCTGACAACTGCCGGTTCTCGGCAGTACTTTCCTCACGATCTGACAGCGTGAGGAAAGTGCAGCCGAGAACCGGCACTTGCATTTCCCTCTGATCAGCGTGTCATTGGACACCGCTGATCAGGTGGTAAAAGGCCGCTGTGATTGGCCTTTTACCACACATCACGTGATCAGCTGTGTCCGTAGGACACAGCGATCACGGAGATCGCCGGGTGCGCTCCCCCTGGGGCGCGCAGGAGAGCGCGTTCTGGGGGGACGTCATATGACGTCCACTCAGAACTGGCCGGCCGCAGTGCAGCCGTCATTCGGCTATCTGCGGTCGGCAACAAGTTAAACTACCTGCAAAGTTGCACATCTGTACAAAGTATAGAACCTGCTACAGCAGGAGTGACATTTTTTTTAAATGGCTGGGGTCCCCCTTTAATCCATACCAGACCCCTTT